CATTTAGTTCTGCTTTGATCTTTGGTATTTCTTTTCTTCTGCTGGGTATGGTGTCAGTTTGCTCATCCTTTTCCAGTTCTTTGAGACAATTCACTAGATTGTTGATTTGCGATCTCTATGTCTTTCGGATATAAGCATTTATGGATATAGATTTTTCTCTAAGGACTGCTTTAGCTGTGTCCAACAGATTTTGATATTTTGTGTCTCCTTTATCTATTAGTTCAAAGAATCTTTTGATTTCCATCTTCATTTACCCCTTAACATAATAATCATTCAGTAGAAGGTTGTTTAGTTTTCATAAATTTATATAGAGATGAGAGTTTATGTTGGAGTTGATTTCTAATTTTATTACACTTTGGTCTGAGAGGATACATGGTATAATTTCTATTTTTTGAAACATGCTTTGTGGCCTAGCTTATGGTCAATCTTACAGAATGTCCCATGAGCTGATGAAAAGAACATATATTCAGTGGATTGGAGGTAGAATGTTCTGTAAATGTCAGTCAGGCCCATTTGTTCCAGAGTTCTGTTTAAGTCCACTGTTTCTTTGTTTATTTTCTGTTTGGAGGATCTGTCCTGGTCTGTCAGTGGAGTGTTGAATTCTCTGGCTACAGTGTGGCTGTTTATCATTTTGTTTAGATCAAGTAGAGTTTGCTTTATGAATCTGGGTGCACCTGAGTTAGATGCATAAATTTTTAAAATTATTATGTCTTCTTATTGAATTGTACACTTCACCATTGTATAGTGGCCCTCTTTGCCTTTCATTAGTTTTGTGGATTTGAAGAATAAGTAATCTGAAACCAGAACCACCACACCAGCTTTCTTTTGGCTTCCCTTTGCTTGAAATATTGTTTTCCATCTCTTCATCTTGAATCTGAATGCATCCTTGTGGGTTAGATGGGTTTCCTGAAGACAGCAGATACATGGCTTGTGTGTATTTATCCATCCACCAGCCTATGTCTCTGTAGTGGGCAACTGAAGCCATTCATATTTATGGAGAGAATTGACAAGTGGGGCAGAGTTCTGTGCATCCTGTTGAGTAGAACTTTGTTACTTTGTTTTCTCTCTTGAGGCATTGTGGTATCTCGCCTTTGATATTCACTTTTGGATGATTTTATATTGGTGAGTGTTTATCGTGCTTATGCATGTGCAACACTCTTTTGAGTA